CCTTGTATGAATGGCTAAGTGAAAGGTTATTCTTCTTTCGCGATGATATCGAGTGTAATATTTACCAAACAACACTTGTGTCACGGTCTTGTGAGTCGCTCATCTCTGTCGAATCTCCCTACTCCACGCAGTTATTGGATAATTTACTGCATCAGAGTTCTAACTAACAAAATATTCCCGATGAAATGAGGAAAATGACATCTATTGAGCTAAGCTTTGCCTCTTATCGTCATCGATCATGTGCTAAATTTACCCTAGCTTTATGCTCTTGTTATGCTAATATATTCACAAATTAGTCAGTGTTGATTCAGAAGATCATACTTCACCGGCGAAGATGAAGTTTTACGCGGCAGCACAGCAATTTCTTCCGTAAATTTTGCATTAGTGGAAAAATTAAAAAATGAAACATATAAATTTTCAGCTTAGGGGCTTTTAAAATCCGAAAGGGAACCCTTGGTGCGAAAGTCAGGGATGAAGTTTGCGTGACAGGTCCGGTCTTTGGACCGTCGGCTCCTCGAGACCGACAGGAAGCTGTGTCTAGTCGAGAATTCAATATGTTCACCCGAAGTAAACCACGCTTAAACTGAAACAGCAAGAGATCGTCGCTGATAATATTTCGTCTTCTTTTGTTTTCAGCTTTCGATCCATTTGATTGAAGGGCAGGGTTATTCTATGAAAAATCAAGTATTCCACGTGGAGTGAATGACTTCCGCTTCCAGGAAAACTTATCATAATGCAAATTAGTATTTTGTATGACAAAATCGTCTATTTTTTATCATTTTCACCGAATAGGTCGCTGCCGTTAACCAACAGTTAACATTTCTTTTTTCATACTATTCGACGAAGGTAGTATTATCTGGTCTCGATTTTGAATGTTCTATCTGTGCCATCCTTACACCAAGCTTGGTCGCTTTTTCGCTGTGTTAGATTATCCGATTTAATCTTTTGAATGAAAGGCGTATCAATTCCTAGCCGCACCTCTCAACACACCTAAGCACTAATAGTTTAAAAATAGCCTGTAAATTCAACTTCCGCGTTCAAAGAGGGCCACACCACGGGTACTCGTGACTGGTTGGCCGGGCAAGGTTACCAAGGTACACTTGACAAAGATTTCGCAGAACAAAAATTGCTTTAGAATTACTTTGAATTAAATTTTTTTTTTCAATACCTGATTTTGACAGCATTTTTGACTGCTTCAAATACTCTGTAGAGCCAAATCTAATGGAGCATTGGTTAATTCATCAAATCGGATTCGAGGGACACTAACTCAAATAGAGCCAGAAGGATCAGAGCTTGACCGAAGGGAATTGAAAACATCAATTGGTGATTAATTTTGTTTGCAAATTACTAAAACGAGACTTCGTCCGCTCACAATATAGCTCTAGAGCGACAAGTTCAAAAGACCATCGGTAAAAGAACTTCTTGTCGCGGTAGGGTAACAACGATATTAGTTTCAGTGGAAACGCGGAATCTGATTTGAAGAAGTTGTGAGAACGCTCCATCAAACATGTTAAGTTGTGGACGTGGAACAGGAGAGTAAACTTATTTAGCGTGAAAAAATGGCCGAGCAAGACCTGTTTTAAATACATCAACCCTCCGGTGAAGGACACCACCATAAGCGAACAGTTTCCAAATTTTAATTCCCCGCCTTCCCTCCCAGCCAAACTCTGCATTTACACATTCTCGAAAGCGGACGCGAACACTTATGAAAGTGAAAATTGGATTTTTCTTTTCTTTCCGCTCTCTTGTGAGCGGACACCCATGAATAATAATAGACTTTTGGCAATGAAATTTTCCTTTAATTTGCAAATCAACAAAAATATGACCTTTCACAGAGCAGCAGACACGGACACTTTTCCCAATTCCCAAGGGTGTCCGCTTACAAGAGAGTTGATGGAGTTCCTACTTGAGTCGCTTCTTAGCCTTTAAACGGTCTACAAGCTCCAAGTACGCCTTGAAAGTTTTGGTTTCGTAACAATCAAGCAGACACCAACTTTAGCAATCAAGTGTCCTTTTAAGAGGGGGAGGAGGGGGGCTGGTGTACTGCTTTGAATCCTCCCTAAGGGTGTACTGTACGGTCCACAAAGTCGTGACAAAAAAGTGTGTGCTTGTTTCACATTTAAAGAAGTGCCGTAATCAAGAAGTAGATGATAAAATTCATTAGAAAAATAGGTTGGAATTTTACATTTAGGTAATTTTCCTATCCCAGCATTTGGCGTTGAAAACTTAACAGCATAAAGTTGCAACACCCTTGGAATCCACAACCAACTTATGACTAATTGATCAAAATTCTGCGCCTGTTTGTAAAACCAGGAAGGGTTTAAGCGAACCTCACCACATAAGGTTCAACATGGGAGGTAAGAGAGGGTGGAGAGGGAGCTTAACCCCTCCTCCCAATCTCAGATACCCAGCAGCAACCGCAGCGATCTCAATGACACAATCTTCGTGATCGACCCCAGGCGTTCGTTAGGCCATGATCTTTAATGCATATGATTGCTTCACTTCATATTTCAGTTGCAATGGGTAGCTGAAAAAGGTAAGAAAGCCTTAAACTTACTATCTTTACTATTTGTCTCGACTCTGCTAATGTAATCACTCTGACAATGTAATAATTTTTTTACAGTTTTGCAGAATGCTCAGTTTTAGAAATATACGGTTAAGCTGTAATATTTATGCGAATATTCCGACAGAAATCCTTCTTGATTTGAAAAATATCACTATACTTTTAAATTCGCAAATAGGAAGTCCCCAAAATAAAAGAGTCATTAAAAAAAGACTTGCCAATGACGAGACTATTTAGATTCAAATTGAAGCAAGCAAGGTCATTACGGTGAAACACGCTCTAACAATTTTTTCTTGCCGTAAAGGATTGTGTGAGGTTATATGGGGAATAATTGACATCAGCTTTCGTGAGTGGTTTTAATCTCCAAAGGATTTCTCTCATGACTCATTCAAATGAGATGGTAGAAAGCCAAAAGGTGCTCAGTTTAAGTAGACAATCATCGCTTGTTACATTTCACCGGCATAAGCACCTTCATGTTCATTTTCCCACTTGGTGCGTCCCACCAAGCGCCACTGAATCAGGCTGGCTCCGTTTAAAGGTTAAAACGTTTGGTTTGTTGAACTGCGATGCTGCAGGGCAAGTCTGCCTACTGAGATCTCTGTAACCGGGGTAAAACCCAACGATTGCTTCTTATCGCTGCGATAACCGTGCTATCTCCATGAGAGCTCGAAACCAAGCCGAACTTTTTAAATGAAAGGATTTTGACTTCTATTAACTTCAGACTGAAAATTAAACTCAATTAAAGGCGGTGACTACTTGTTGTCTTGTCCTTTATTTCCAAGGCCGTACAATTATTTCGAAACAATTGTCTTGGGTGTGAATGCCGGTATGTTACGCGTATTCGATTGTCTCATTGCAATACCCAGACAGGAAGAAGATGACATTTGCAGCCATTCTCATTGGCATAACCTCAAATATGATCACCCACCAAGATTGAAGGATAACATGAAATCGTAGCAAATCCTAGCAGCTGCTTACAGTCTGAATATGGAAGTTTTCAGGTAGAAGTTGCGATTAGAGCACATTTGCTTCATAAAGGAATTTCAGCTTGGTTCCTGAAATAAATTAAGCGTGATCTCTCAGATTTATTCTCAAAGCTGACCAGAATTACCGATGCAGGGATGTTTCAATACCTAATGATATACCTGGAAAAATTACGCGCGGTGCAGACAAGGAATCGTAAAATTTTAAAGACTACAAATTACACCCGCCCTACAAGCTCGTGAAATTTGGTTGTCTTTGACTGAAAATTTACTCGTGCTTATGAACAAGAAATTGGTGTCGAAATCGTGTTGTTACCTATACTAACATTCCTATATTTGATGGGGAGTTGGTGCAGTACTGTAAAGGTACTATAGAGTGTATAAGAGTGTATCCATATGGAGAATGCACTATACATACTTGTCATTATCAATCGTCTGTCCTTGGCGGAGTCCGGTCTGTAGAGCTCACTTAACTAGTGCAAATATGGTAAGCGTTATCCCTTTATCATTGCCAGTACAATAGTTTAACGCTTAGGTTCATTACTAGTCGGCGAACGGACTGTCTTTGTAAAAGTTGGTTAAATCTAGTAAAAGAGCTACAAGCCATTTTCAGCTGAGGAGCAGCCATAAAACAATCGTAAGAGGGATGATAATGTGAAGAAGTCCACTTTAAATTTTTTCTCGTACATTTAAGAGTGTTCATCAGCAATGCTTGGTGAAACTAGGGTCAGGATCAGTGCTTTAGAAAATGGTCGAAAATATGGCGTAACATACCATTCAAATCTCAGTCCGGGTCTTTTCCCACGAAAACAACTTCCTCGATACTATCAATCTGATTAACCCTAGTCTTTTTAGAAGCAAGCATAACCACTTATTAAGGAAATTCAATGATTCAATTATATCAATATTAATCTTCCCTGTGGATTTCCTTTAAAATGTATTCACAGGGGGATAAAGCAAATGTAAAAACATCTTTTGTGTATGACACCCACTCCACTCGTGTTATGATTCCTTTGGAAAGTTTGAATTGTGCAATTTGTCTCATGGCATATATTGAGTGTGCGGGAGTCTTCGAAAAGAACTGTTACTCCCCCAAATGAATCCTTGTATAACTGATTTACTTTTTAAAATCCCGTCCACTATTTGCACAGATTATCTTCTGAGCACTACATAATTAGATAACCTTGCTGTATTATTCTCATACAGCGATTAGGCCGGACGTATAATCCTCTCGTCTATCCAAGAAGCTTCAGAACTCAATCGCTAAAAACAGCTCAACAGCATATACAACATACCTAGGCAAAGCATTAACTCTATTTTTTTTAATCAAGTATAAATCATGTATACTTTTTCAAAAAATTGCACCTCCTTGTTTATAATCGTAAAAGCGATATTTTTTTACTAAGCCTTCACAAGTGGTGGTTTTGTATTCGGTGAAATTTAAAGTGGAGAACCTGCTGCAATTCAAGGGCTAGAACTCTCGGTTCGCGGCTCCCTCGCCTTCATACCCTTCAACCGACGCCCACAAAACCGCCACCCGCGAAATTTTTCCTTTAAGAACGCAACAAGTGTAAAGCTATGAAAGTGTGTAAAGGTAACCAAACGTTCATTATGATGAGCTTGCACTCCATGTCAATTATTTGTAAAAATGAAATACGTACATTGAATAGTTCCAACAGCTGTAGGTGAAATATACATCGATTTCTTTGGTACTCAACGGTAAAGGAATACTGAGAAGTGTAATCCAAAAGAAAGCGACCACGAAAATTACCAACAAAAAATTGAAACAATACTGCCCCTGCCTTCGTTAGGACATTCGAACCAGTTACTTTGTCAATCGTGCCATTAAATTTGTGTGACCTAACCGCTCTACTGGAAATTGACTTTGTGCAAATAGTGTATAAAATTTTTTTTGAAATCTCTATTTTAACTTAGTATAAAACTATGACCCTATTTCTTTGTTTTTTTGACACGTTTGCAACTGGCGCTACAACCTACTCATCTCGGACGAATAGGGGTGTTAGGTACTCGATAGGTATTTCCTGGGGACGGCCAGGGGCCGGGCAATGTAAGAACAGGGCGTGCCTGCCACATACCACGAACAAACACAGGTCTACCATAGTTTGGAAATCTGGGGTAAACTAATTGAAACCTGGTCCGATTTGTAATGCCTCTCTGTGAGTACCGGTTCGAAGCGTTTGAAATAAATTGAGGCAGACCTTTGGTCTCATTGTGTTGCAAAGAGGAATGTCCAGGTCGTATTGGTGCAACCCAACGGGGATAAGCGTACGCTTGATTGTTAGGACTCAAAACGGTGTCATTTGTATCCAACCCTTGATTATGGTCACGATGACTACTTTCAGTGTAATGTCCGATAAGACGTTTGTCATCAGAGAAGATCGGCACAAAAACATTATTGGGAGCTTTTGGTTCAAAATTCCGGCGCCTTCCAGTGTTACTCAGTAGCGGTGTCGAACTCGACTTCAATTGTTCATTTTTCCTCTCCCCACTTATCGTCCTGTTACAGGCGTGCGCATCTTTCTCAACATCGTCGATGTCCCCCAAAGGCTTAATCCCACCAAGGGGTTCTCTGTCACGTCTTTTTTCAGAACGACGATCCTTGTTTATATCAACTTGAACATTTTTTTCAAGCTTTTTCGAGAAGTCCTGCTGACTTATGGTAGCGTTCACTGATTTTTTAGGGTTGGTGATCTTATCCTGTTTTAGATGCCTCGCCGTAAAAGCATTCCGGTCAGCCCACTTGAAACCGATTTCTTTTGTTCCAGCGGGGTCTGAGGCGCTTTTTTCTCCACTGCGTACGGTCTGGCTGCTGCTTCGCCCTTCTGTTGGACTATCAAACCCACTTGTTTTCACTGCATCCAAAGTAGCTATAAAGTGTTTGTCATCTCTCAAAGATGAATTCTTGAGGTCACTTGCAATTGGGTTTTTCGGATACGCTTCTGATTGTATACCGCTGGGGGCCACTGGTTCTTGCCCTAAGACTTCTTTAGCCTTGGGTGACTCATTCATGCTTGGTCGCAGTTTATCCTCTAAGTTTTCAGGATGCCTATCCGCTTTCACGTATGGGTGACCTGACGAACAGGTTAAACTTGACCCCTGTTCCCTCCTCTCCTTAATCAAATCTTTTCCTTGGCTTTTCTTGATCGGAGTTGGAGCAAAGGTTACAAATTTCTTCTTCTCCTCTTGTGCCGTGTTTTTTGCTTCCATCCGGGCCTTACGTTCTAATGTTACGCATGCTTTGCCTGAACGTATCAAATCCACTTTTTCTTCTGCATTTGTTGCGTGTGTCCTACTGTTGTGCGCTTGCTTGAGTGGCAGTCGCTCCATGGAGTCTTGAGTTTGTTTTTCTTTCCTGAGCCTTTCCCTCGTGCAATACAGGTTACTCATGCAATTAACTGTTCTTAGAGAAGCTACGTCATTTTCTTGACGTGTGTCGTGTCCCTGAGGTCGTGCTGAACATTTTAATTTATCTAGGCAATTTTCTGTTTTAACTCGATCTCCACACGTTGGGGTTTGTTCCTCATTTTCCTGCCCTCGATTTGAACATGGAAGTTCACTTGGGAGTTGAAATATTTTCACTCTTTCTATTGCGGCTTCAGTTCCTTCCTCTTTCCCTTTCAATTGAGCTAAACATACCAATTTTCGTTGGCGACTTTTAGTTTCAATTTCTCTTCCTCCCTGTGCCTCCTGCCTTCGCTTCCTTGATGGCTGTGCTTCTGTTGCAGTCGTAACCTTTGCTTCGTTCCAACAATCCCCAGCAGTCTGCAACGAACTGTTGTCTACGGCTTTCATCAAACAGCTTGACTTCGTATGAAGGTTCTTAAAAGGACAGTTTTCTCTTGCTGATGACTCGTTATCAGGCTGTCTTCGTGATACCTGATTTTCATGCACCCCTGATTTCTTTGATTGGATTGCGACCCCTTCTTTTGACGATTTCAAAATCTGAGACGCTGCTGTCTCTGACCATTTGTTTGATCGCCAAAGCATTGTATATTCCTCTGTCTCTGTAAAGCGTGGTTGTCTAGGACTCGAGTCTACAAACAGTTCAGAACCTTCGAGAACGAATCCATAACTTTCTGGTAATTTACTTGTTTGTAGTTTCTCATTTGACTTTTGAGGAACGGAGGCCACGGAGACCACCTGCTCAAAAGCCTCTACATTTCCAGAAACAGACAATGTTAAATTTCGTTTTGAACTGGCCGTTTTGTTTGGACATCTAGCGCCTGGTGACCCGACTAATCCCGAATTATCATGGGAGCAATTCACGACCACCGGCTCAGCAAACACCCCTTGTAATCTTTTTTCCAAAAGTAGAGTTTCCTCTTTCGTAGTTATAATTTCGTCGGCGAATTCTTCAGCCACATCGCCCTCAGAAGCGACTTTTCCTGGAAATCTCAATGTGAATGTATTTACCGAACTCGGTGGTGAACAAATGACTGTGACTGGTTCTGGAAATTCATTTTCAATCACTGACCAGATATCAGTGTGGCCATGCGGTTTGTCGAGTTCAGAATGTACATCACGAACTTCCACTGATCTATTTTCTTCAAAATGCAAGGAATAACTGTCCTTTCTTAACTTACTTGACCGACCTTTAGAAGCCCTTTGTAATCCCCAATCGTGAACTAAAGATGTTTCAATAACACCAAATTGGTGTGCTTCCGTGTCTTCATGAAAATCTTCAACCTTTTCTTCAGCCACGCAGCTAACAGCTAATGGCTTGCAGTCACTCTTTTCATCCATTTTGGAGGGCTGAACATCACACTCTCCTCTACTACAGGAGGTACCTTTTAATACTACCACTCCTACGTCATTAATTGGCGCTTCATGACCTTTTCCGGTCGAGGTTAAAACTGAAGACTTAGATGGAGACACCGAGGAATATTCACCTCCTCTCTCTATTGCAACACTCAAATCGTAAAATTCAGGATAGTTTGGCGTGTCTGTAAATGAATTTTGCTGTTGTTTGACTTGGATCGCGGAAAGTTTACAAGATTTCATCCGCGTGTCGGGGTTCAGTGCAAGATTTTTGCTAACAGTGTTTTCAGAATGTTGTTGTGGCAAATGAAGGTATGGCCGTTTCCTACTTGACAATTTCTTTACAGGATTTTCTTTCGGAATTTTTACTACTACTTCCTCCAAACGTTCTTCTCTGATTATTCCAGATCTCCCCGGATTACCACTTTCAAAACAATTTTCTCCCTCTAAACAAATATCATTTCCTCTTGCCGCTAATTGATTAGTATCAAAACCATGGAAATTATCCACAACTTTAGTTAATACTTCAGTTGAAATTTGCCTGGTGCCATTTTCGGAGGCTACCCTGGTACATAGCTGTCCTAAGTCAGTGGTAAACACACAACACCGCTCCTCAGTTGTATTAGCATTCTCATTTCCAGTAACGTTTTTGCAAGGGCTCCTAGGACCAATGATAATAGACGACGGTCTCTCTGAAGTCGGTGTAACAATCAGTTTTGAAATGCAGTCTGCTCCTGCAGTCGGATTCAGAGAGCTTGAAAACGCTTTCGGCACGAGTTTTTTAACAGTATCATGTAATTTGAGGCTTTCAATAGGCAGTGAGTTATCATTAGCAGCATTCTTAACGTACTCTGGTTGTCTTGGCGATGAATGGTAAGATGATAACTGTGGAGACTCAAGTACTTCTGCATCGATAGTATGAAGGACATTGTGCACCTTAAAGATATCTGTACTCTTTGTCTCCTTAAATGCATTCTCCATAGGCTCCTCGTTAGAAGGGCAAATAAGATTTACCTCCATTGGCTGGTTAACTTGATTATCATCGAGCGGGTGCGGGATTTCTACACGGGTTTCTCTTTTCTTCAAGTCGTTCTCGCCTTCCAAGTTGACGAGCTCGGGGGAAGCTTCAATAATACCGGAACCTGCGGTTTCAATGTGCATTGTTTTCTGGGGTTTTAAGAATCCTTCTCGTGATTCTGCTTCCCTCGACCTGTGCAAGTTAGCTTTGTCATTCAAGAATGATGAATTCAAGTTCCAATTCTCCAAACAAAAGTTCGATTTGGTATGACATTCACCTTCGTATGTAATGAAGGGCCTTCCCACTGAATTCATTGAAGTGGAATCAGCATTTTCTCTTCGCGTCTGAACTACGAAGGCTGCTCCAAATGATTCAACGCTTGGCTTTGGCAGATTCACACTTAAATCCTCTTTCGGAATCTCCGAAATGGCTTCCTCGGCTTGAAGTGTTTTCACAGGTGTATCAGAGAGAAATGGAATCCTTTCCCGATCGGAAAACAACACCAGCGGTGATTCAGGCCAAAAAGGATAGAAATTCGTACTTGTTGTTGGTGTGTGGGGCCGTTTATATTCTGAGTCGACTTGTAAATCACTTGTAAAAACGTCCTGGTATTTCATAGTCTCAGTTTTAGATTGTTCCTGGCTTTTTCTGGCTAAAGAGTCATTTTGGAGTCGGTACTCGACGTTCCATAACTTTTTTGAGGATTGCCTCTCTGTCGAACCGTTTGACTGGTGTACTGATTCTAAATTGTTGTTTTGAGTATTCGTCGAAACGTTACAAGACCTTTTCAAAGTCCTCAAAAGAGAAAGGTCTAGTGCAGGTAATTCAGGCTTGGAACTTTTCGCGGTATCAAAGGATACACATGAGACCGCTGGCAACTCCGAACTACTCTCAAGATGCTCTACGTCTAGACTATTACAAGTCCGCCCTTTCAGAGATTTCGTTGAACATGTAGTAAAATTCGAACATGATGGTAAACCTTCCACGACGTTTGCTTCATTTCCCTTTGAATCTACTTCTGGCATACACGATTGATTATTAAAACTCTCTTCTTTACTCGTTGACATGATATTATCGTTAGAAAAGTCTGATAACATTGTGATGTCTCCCTGAAAAGCGACGGTACCAGAGATACTGGCACTCCTCAAAGTTCTTTTAGTTCTTTGCAGGCTCTTTCTTCCATGCTTAGCTGGACTGTATGAAAACGACAAGGACCGTTTAGCGATGTGACGAGGATGCAAGTGTCTAGAACTATCGCCAGGCGAGGATACTACAATTTTTGATCTGTGTCGCACTTTAAAATCTAAAGATGCCGGTCTTAAAATGGATACAGCAGGCCCAACAGGAGTACCTGGTGAAGACGAAGCGCAGCGGCTGACTGTCGGGGAAGTGAGCTGAGAGACTGAAGGTGGAGACTTTGTTTGACGACGGCACACGATGCAAAACATTCTAAGTGGCTCTGCTACTGCGCAAAATCCTGCAATGAAGAGCGTGTTTACTGTTGACAATGCATACAACAATTCGCTCAGAATTAATCGATATATGTAGAAGTGTAATTTGGTATTATCAACTGACTTGATAACGTAAATTGGCCACCGTTAAGAGTTTCAAAGCCGACGTTTCGAGCGTTTTCCCGTTCGTCAGAGTGAATAGAGGAGTTGCGGGTTGTGTGTGTTTTTATGCAGAAGATAGAGCTACGCTATTGGCGGGAACATAATGACGAGAAAACAAGAATAAATTAATTGAATGAAAAGCCCTCATTGATTCCGTGGGGAACAAGAGTGCCAATTTGAAAGATAAATGTTTGTTCTAGAGTTTTCACGATGTTGGGTAAAGCCGCAAAATTAATCGATATATGTAGAAGTGTAATTCGGTATTATCAACTGCCTTGATAACATAAATTGGCCACCGTTAAGAGTTTCAAAGCCGACGTTTCGAGCGTTTTCCCGTTCGTCAGAGTGAATAGAGGAGTTGCGGGTTGTGTGTGTTTTTATGCAGAAGATAGAGCTACGCTATTGGCGGGAACATAATGACGAGAAAACAAGAATAAATTAATTGAATGAAAAGCCCTCATTGATTCCGTGGGGAAGATAAATGTTTGTTCTAGAGTTTTCACGATGTTGGGTAAAGCCGCAAAATATCGTATGCTTCTTAGAAAGATTAGGCAGATAAAATTGTCTAGTTACTAGTTTGGATGAGTCGTTGACATTTCTTTCTACGTTGCGAAGGTGTTCTCGGAATTGGTCGCCCAGTCGTCTTCACGTTTCACCAATGTATAACTTTTTGCAATAAGTGCAAGGTATGTATCCGATAAATGACATTAGCGGTGTTGCACGTGAAGTGATCAGTAATCTTAATAAATCTCTTGGGTCCCCACATTTTCTCTACGTTATAAATGAAAGGACAGGTTTTGCAACGTGAGCGAGCGCATTTGAAAATTCCAGGTTGGTCATCAGTTTGCAACGAACTCCTGACCAAAGAGATGCCCATGTTTTTGTCGCGTTTGAATGAAATAAGTGGATGTTGCGAAAAGATAGTACCCGTCTCTGAATCGTTTTGAAGTAATTTTAAATCTTTAAGAATGATAGATTTAACGCGTGGTTGTAAGGGTGAAACGTGCGAGTATATAGAAGTATTTCATGATTTGTGGGTAAGCACCACCACGCAAATCTTTTGCCAGGCATCATAAGAGAGGTGCCCATGAGAGGCAAAGTGGAGGAAAGATCACAAGCTAACATCTAACTGCAAGGAAACTCTTACCAAGACGTACAGCTAGTTTTCCCGATGGAACGAGGAACATTGTAGTGAAAGGATCAATGCACAAAACGCCAGCCTGTTGGGGAAAAAGTGAGGTTATCGCCGTAGAATAGGATCTGTTTGCCAGACGCCAAAAATAGCATAAGTTGAACTGCATTTAACCGCTTATGGAAAGAAAATTGAACATGTGAAAATCCACCTCTTGGTTAATAGGACAATAAATCAAAATGTAGTTCGAAGACATGGATTTTTATCGGTGAATAATGATCGTCCCATGAAAACTAAAAACTCGTTCGGTGGGGGTGCAAATCCTAACTAAAACTAGCGAAACGTAAACTACTGAATAGATATCACCGCTGACTTTTAGCTTTTCACTTTTAGGTTGAGACGACGTAAACGTTAGTAACCGTGACGCCTTATCTGAAGACAGATATCTTACTTGTGACAAGGGAACAAATATTTTACTTCTATCTAACAAGGAAACTCACCGCCTTGGCTTTAATGGCCAGGTGTCTTGTGAAGCTGGTGAATGTTTCATCTTGTTGTCTAGATGCCACCTTCATCGTGCAAAGACTGAGCACATAGTTCCTGTAATCAACTATGAAGATTTTGTGCAAATCAACATGGGAAATGTGGTTAATGTTGACCACACTTCTCATTTTGATCAGTACAAAATCTTAAACATTATAATAGGATAATTATGCGGTAGGTAGTGCAGTTTAACATAATAACCGTGAATCCAGGCAAATAACTGATCATGCACTACATCTAGAGAAGGAGAATTCATCTAGACTTAAAGATATTCTATCAAAGGTAAAGGTTTGCAAGTGTCTTTCCCTAAAACAAAACTTGGTTAGGCCAGGATATTTTGATCTGGAGCCCAACAAACTCCATTCTGCGTTTTTTCTCAACCAAATGCACTTTGCAGCGCTGTGCGTGACCAAGGTCATATAACCTTTAACATGATGTTTGACTTCCTCGTGTGATGTATTGTAAGTGCTAGTTTGCTCTTTTAACGAAGGGCGGCGTTCCTTAAGTTCTTGTTGTTTCTTAATTTTATATACACCCTACACTTATTTCTCTAGTCAAATACATCTTTTATACTTTACAAGTGTCACTGATTTCTTATGCGGTCAGGGCCATAGAACTCTGATACAACAAATACCAACAGGATAAATTGAAATACCATGATATAGCTTTAATTAACCCCACGCCAGAGAGGCTAGGTACTAAGAACAGGTTTTTAATAATTTAAAAACTTACGGGGCAATTTCCATGCGCTCCTCACGTCCCCTGGCAGCAACGCACCTAACTGTTTTAAAGGAATTTTTGAGGAGACATCCAGATACGATTTCCTGCGAAGGAAAAGGAAGCGCTTTAATAAATGCAGTGTAAGCGACTTTAAACAAACCTTTAAGCGCGAACACCACGAAATAACCGTGGAAAAATGTATAGAGGGCTCTCATAATCATGATAGGTGTTTAAGTTGCGAAAAAGGTCGATCATGTCGAAAAAAGAAACAAAACAAAACAAAACAAAAAACAAAACAAAAGAGAGACAGCAATATACTAAAATTATAAACAAAACGCAATAAAACAACGACGCAAAACCCCCTAAGCAAACAAAAAAAAAACAAAAAAATCGAGCTGAACCGCTGGACGTCATTTATCAATCATGACAAATGAAGTGACTAAATAACAACAAGACAGAAAAAAGAGAAGCGGATACAGAGGAAAACTTGCGAGAATTAATCATTTCTCGAGGCTGCCGGGTAAACTCACCAAAAGTTGAATCCCAATTTATGTCCTGCTAGCAGTGATACGCATCCAAGTCTCTTGTCTTTACATGTAACAAGGCCTCTCCACGCTAGAATGCCGTCTTCCTCTTTAAAAAACGGAGTGTAGATATCCTATGGTGAAAAAATACTGTTAATAATCTACGGAAATACCAACTAAATTTACTACTACACTTAGGGTAAAAAAGAAGACAGAAAATTAATGTTATACTTTGACGATCAAGTATGTATACCTTGGAAAACACATCAACAGAATAAGAAGATAATAAAACAAACAAACAAACAAAAGCACTTAAAACAAAATGAACAAAAAAAATATGAACCAAAACGACCAGCCTCAAACCTTCATTATAGAATAACAAAACGGGAATTCAGCGTCCTTACCTCAATTGGTATTATAGAATCCTTAACAGCACTCGCTAAATTCTCTAAAGAGACAGGTGGTTTTAATGGACTGCTTATGTCTTCGCTTCTCTGAAGAGCGATAACGGCAAACGGGAGGCAGTGTCGCGGGCGCCTTGATGGTAGTCCTTCGTCATCGTATTCATAGAGGTAATACTACAAATAGAAATGTAATATCGACATAGGAGCGTATTTCGATTGAACTTTGTGAAACCAATACCAAAGTTACCTCGAGGAATAATGATGAGAAAGAAAGAAATGATACAAGGAGCACATAATGACCCGAATCAAAGACAAGCGAATTGGCTGAAAACCGCGAGAAGATAGCAAGAGTTTTCGCGTTCAGCTACGGAATGAAGTAAAGCAAAACCCAAACAGTACCTTTAATACCATTTTTAATGAGGATAATTCAATCTCTATTTCAGCGGAATTGAAAAGCAAGAGGTAATGCGCTGCTTTTGTTTGCATACGAAGTCAAACAGAGATCTTCATCAAGAAAGCATGGGGAAGAGTAACGGGGTGACACAGACGCGAGTTTCCCTCTAAACAGTGTCTGTCAAGCAGTTCCCAGTTCTACATACTTGAACATGCATTCGACTCATTTTTGTAATCTGTTTTAAAATTTCTATCCACTAATTCATCTCTGACTATAATTTTTGTGTCGGTAGTGTGCAAAGGCTAAAATACCTGAGTGCTTCGCATGAGTGTGGTCAAGTCTGTAACGGAGGGACAAGTCGTGTTTCTTGACACGTGGCAGTCATAGTTCGGACTTGGTTCCACTGTATCACCTACAAGCGATAACTTTGGCGATACGAACTTCGCGCGGCCCTTTACAATCTGTAGTGGAAGAAAATGAAGAGTTTAATTTAGTACTTTAACCACCATCGCCGTTACAATGACAATTTTCCTGAACGTAAAGGTCACCATGCACTTGTGTTAAAACGACCAAGACAAATTCAGCAAGAGCAAGGGTGTAACATAGATAGTGTTTCGGAGATCCGTTTCTATAAAAGTAATTTCTTGGAAGCTATGATCTGATCGTAACCTATGTCGTTGCCAAAAAAAATCTCTTCATCTTGAACAAATTCGTAATCATCAGTGTTATTTTCATCGCAACAGTTGTCATCGTCGTCATCAATATCGTTACAGTCACTGCCTCGCTCCATCTAACAGCGGTGGTAATATTAAAAGAATGTTGCCGAAATGCTGGCGTGAAGATGTTCTTAGAAAGTCTAAATATGTTTATAATAAAGTTCGGGTATAACGCGCGCTGTCATTGGTTGGAAGAGCGTGCTCTATGAGAAAATAGAGCATAGAGCTGAGCTAAAGCTGTCACGCCATCTGCCAAATTGTACTGTTCGACCTTTTCCGGGACTTCTTTCTAGCTTTTTTCCAATAATTGAAAGTGAACTTTCGGAACAAGGGAGTCGGCAAGTAGCAACAGAAGAACCAACAAAGGTTAATATACCAGGCGCCGTAATTTACGTTATTAAAACGTGAGCAGAGGCGAAAATCCTCAAAGGGAAAACAAAATAAACACGCCGAGTTTTAGAGGTATTCACACTCAGTTAGATTGCAAGCTTACATTCAGTAATAAAAATCAGACACAGCTAACACTCGTATAGTATATAAAGTTTTGTGTTCAAAAACGAAACAGAACAAAACAGGAATGATGACAAATATAACCAAACTAGCATAACTGTTAAAATTCATACTAATCATGACGGTGTCTGAGCGAATATGATCATGCTAAGGTCCATCGCGGCTCGCTCATCCTGGCGAGCTCCGGTCATCGCAGTGAAGCAAGCCTCAGAAACTTCAGTGTCCGCGTGAAAAAATAAGAGCTTGTTCTGATATCCTTTCCGATGCGTTGAGTGGAAAGCCACATCAGTCACTGCAGCCGAGTTTTGCGGCGCTGTCATCCCGAGCGATCTTCATGTACCGACGAATTCGGCTGTCGTTCATTCATAAAACACTCGCCTTGAACAGTTTGTTTTCTACCTTGTCATGTGGAAAAACTCGCGTGTTTTTATGAGCCTTAATTCGGCTGAAGTTCACAGAACATTTCACTTTAAGACTCTGTATTAGAGACTTAAAAACGTCAATCAAAAGTATTAGATTCGACCTGCTGCACTATTTTGGTTTGTAAACTATCGCAGAATGTGAACTTTGATGGTTTGACATTTTTGAAAGCTTTAGTCTTGTACAGCCAATCAGATTATTTGAACCATTCTAACAGGGATTCTGATTAGCTTATTGTAGCGTGCTTTATGAGAGTATGGAGCATGCTGACGACTTTGTTGTTCGCTTTGGAAATAAAGTTTGTTTTGAAAATTTAAAGTGATGCTTGGGGAATTCAACGGATTCTTTATTGTAAAATAAATCGAGAAGCCTTGACTGTGCTCTGTTCTGTTATAAAACACGCAGGAAGCGGCTAGAGCACTCTTTCGTGCTCTAGCCGCTTCCTTCGTGCTTTATAACAGAACAGAGCACAGTCAAGGCTTCTCTAATTGTTAACGAGATGAAAATAGGATAATTATGAGTTGACCATGGAGTCAAACATATATTCAGTTTGCACGCTTAGAGGCTAAGTGAACAGAATATATCAGATTCTGCATTTTCTTTCACCCTCAAAAATTCCTCAAGAGTTCTTTAGAGAAGGCAGAACGTGCAGAGAATTTCTCCTTCGTCTTCTCTTTTGACTGAAAATCATTGGCAAGGGACAAAAAGGCCTGATACACTTATCTTGCCTAAAGAAAGGAAACAATATCTCCTATTTCTGGTTTCACTCTTCTGCACTTCAGATTTTTGCTGGATTTTCGCGTTCCACTCCTTAGATGATTATGTACACACCTACCTTAAATACCACTAGGTACGCAGTTCCAGACGTGGGCCAGCTGAACGCTCTGAGACACAAATCCGGATACCTCCACACGGTCACACCCATGTGTCCATCGCCAAGGGAGTGATCCACACCATCGCAAACCAAACCTACCCGACAAATCTCCTTCACACGACTATCTTCTTTCTCAACACAAAACGCTAATTGTTGTGTGAGCTCTTTGGGTGATCTTCCCTCATCCCGCATTGACGCTCTTTTCTCGTGATACTCTCGCTCTAAGCCTTGATTTTCCACCTTTTTTATGTAAGAGATGCTAACAGCTCGATCGATGAGGTCGTTGGTGTCCCATGTTAGCCGCTTGACGCTTTGCTCAATTTCTTTTGCTTCTCGTGAGTTCACTGGTAAAACGTACTGACAATCTGTAACAGAATTAAGTTCAATTTGAGTTTGATTTAAACTGATTGTCGAAAGCAATACGGAATTGAAATGGTTTTGCTTCACTTCTCTCTTTTATTTTCCCAAATAACTCCGCCAAACTTCTCCATGAATCAAATAGAGAAATAAAGCCAATCACGACTTGATCGCCGTCTTATTAGAGCACTAGACAGATTGTTTGCTTATGGAGCTTTTTACAATCTTAGTTCTGACCCTTCATTGGCTCGGTGAGAACATCAAGTTAATCACATATTTCTCGTCCAATTTTGAGTAGATAAGCACTCGAAATTTTTTCAAACGTTTCAGAATTCACTCGCTTTACGGGTTTGTGTAAATTCGTTGGTATTTAATGAAAGAAAAAAATCTCGTGCATAATTGATCCATATATCCCTCGCATCAAGCGGAAACTTGCTAATAGCTATCCCCGACAGGAAGGTTTTATCCCTTCCTGCCTTCCCTGAGAGGGAAAATCAAGAAATATTCTGTACCATGTTTGTGTGTACAAACGAAATTCTTCGGAATGCGCGCACGAGAGAAAGCGGTTGTAATCCACGAAAGTGGCCGCCTTGTATCTAAACTAATGTATGTACAGAATGGCATATCTCTACAATTGCAAACGAAAATGCCTAACTGCTAGTTTCTTTAATGCTTACATGAAAAAATGCAGTCTATGTTAATTCATTAACTTCGACCATTTTCGTGTTAGAACTTCTTCACCTGTGAGGCACAATTTTTAAATCCCTCTTAAATCCCATTTAATTCCAACCGTAAAGGGAAAGAAAACCAGAGATAAACTAATCTTCATTAGCCGAAATCAATTTTGGTTCAACTTTTTCTCCACTTAAATCGCAAACACGTGATCTAAGTGAAGGTTTTTGTTGTCAAAACTAGTGGCGGCTAGCGATTACTCAAGACGTCGTCTTAAAAATCATTTCATGGTTATTTTTGCAAGGTTTTCCATGCAGCAGTTTACTTACAACTCTTTTACGCAAAGTCACTAAAACAAAGTCGAAAGCCCCTTATTTTTGCAATGTTTATTCTTTCATTAATTCATCTCCTTTTTATTAACAAAAACGAAACAAACTAATCAATAAAAATTTCATTGGCGTATTAATTCTGCAGAGGAACATGCTTCCTCGGGAAACGTAAACATCATTTTTCGCTAGTTCTCTCTGGAATAAATTTACATGAACATAGAATTGTTTTCTGATCTGAACTAGGAACAGGGTTGACATTTAAGAAGTTCGGTGTTTTGGAACTTCACTGGTTAATCACACATTTAAATAACTGATCAGCGTGGGTGTTTAACTTTTTTTTTTAGATATTTGGCTAATGGACCGAGCTAGAAATTGAAAGTGTACACCAGATGAATTGGCAGAATTCAAATTGAATATTACCGAGTTCATATTCACATAAACCGAAATATTTTCAGCGACATCAATACGAGTTAGAAGGTTAATCAGAGCTTTGTCTTCAAGAATATCCAAAAGCTAAGCAAAAAAACTATCAATAAAAAAGTAACTTGATGAGGGAACAACTAAATAACAACAACCACCTCTAAATGTTTCCGTAAGAAAAGTGAAGGTGTAATAATAGAACTGTTTTGTAAACAAAACCAGCAATTTGAAGTCACATCGATGTTTAACTGTCGGTTTTAAACTTACCATATCAACTTCTTTCTCATTTAATTAAATAACATTTTCACTTTCAACCATATTCCATAAAAATGTTAGATTTTCCTGACGTTTAATTTCGACTATATATATGGTACTTAGGGGGCACGTACATTTTCATATTTCTGACAGATACTGTTTTGCGATTAACAACAAGAACAACAACATGAACAACAAAAGGACGAAATATCACACAGCTATTTTTCAGATATCATTTCTAAGATATTGAAAATAGTAAAACAACAATGTACGAGACCAAAATGTTTAACTCAGTTAAGTTAATGATCGGTAAATTTGCTCTAATTTCTTTATATTTTCGAGGACATCTTTGTTTATGATAAGATACTGAAGTGTACACTGATATGTTCATGGTAAGTATTTTGTGTCTGAAAAACCCCACGGGAATGCGATAGCAACCTCGAAAATTGAATTCTCAAATTAGGTAAAATAAACTTCAGAACGGGAAAAATACAGCATCGACGTTGACAGAAAACGCATCAAAATTGACATGGAACTTTTTTACCTTCTGAAGGCCTTCTTTCTTTCCGAGGGATTGTGTATGCCTTGAAGGACCAACTTAGATCTCGAACATCTCCCATTTCCACGGCCAAATTTGAAAGGCTAGGAAAAAGAATAAAAACATTAATTAAAATGCACTTTAAATTCAAAGTTAAAATCTGGATCAACGAACGCGAGAAGCAATCAATTTGAAAAGCGCACCAAGTTAGGAACTCAAACACAAACTTGCAAGTACTTGAACGAGTATTTGCAATTACTTCTCTGCGACTTTCCACGCAAAAGCTTAAACAATTGCAGTCACACACAAACACACACACACAAAAAAACACATCCTTTAATTTACATTTTCATAATGGCACCTGTTTCATGTCGGTTATAACTGAACAATGACGTGAGCCGCACGCAAACAGATAACAGTGAGCTACGAAACGACCAGACATTTCGACACTGATCGTAATTTCACTCGCTCATTTTATTCAATAAATAACTTTTAGTCCTATCAATAAAACAAAACTGTCAGTAGAAAACACCTAAATGCAAATTAAGTGTTACAAAGAAAAAAAACACAGTGAGCAGCGACTCCGAAAGCGAATCATTTATAAATTTTGTGGCGCTTGCAAAATTGCGAATTACGCTCCGCCAAACTGTATCAATTCAATATTTCTCCTTAGAAAATTTTCGCGCCTAAGTTTAGGCCTCACGTGAGATGCTCTGAACTAAAAGGATTTCAGATGTTTTGTTTGCTAGTTATCTCCTTTCACAATTGACTCGCACTGGAACAAATTATAAATGACTTCAACGGCTGCGGAATCTAACATAAAATATTCCGTACACGTACCAGGATAGCCAAACTCTACCACAGTTGCATTCTAGAATGTTTAAAAGCACTCCACCGAGACCGTCAAACTGTACTCCGATTCAATAAGAGCTAAAAAGAGAACAAACGCTTAAGTGACACCTTGCTTCACTTTCTAAAGCTGAAAATTCCGACAAGATGGTTGCCGTCTGGCTGTCAAACGTCACACAACGGATAATTTTCCCGCCAACAAGAGTCGCGGCTGTCAACCTATCAAATGGTGCCAAGTCATTTGTTTTGGCCCCTGCTGGCAAGGCGTTTGGCCATCTTGATGCACTGTTGTAGCATTCAACAATAATTTGACGCAAGAAAACAAAGAAAAACTTAAAATAATGTCGTACTTAGAACTAAAGAACAAGACTTCGTTAAAAACAATTGTTGAATATTTTCATTTTACTATATAATTCGTACTTATTGTGAAATTTTCCATAGCACTTTCCCCTGATGATATCTACGGTTCTTAACCGAAACATTGGGATTTTCTGATATTTTAAAAATATTTTCAGAAATTTTCATTCATGCAGTTAATGTCCTTACAGTATGCATGCGCTCAGATCTCACAAAAGTACAGAGCCCAGATAGTGCCATCTCTTACTTCTCACCAAAATTTTTTCTACCATTTTAACTTTATTTTTCACAACCTGTTTTTTTCCAGCACGACTTCAAACAAAAACGGAGAAAAGGCAAGTCTCCAAGCTTTCACCGCTCCACAGCATTACCAGAGAGCTGAACAACATTGCAAAAAAGAAGAAAAAAAAACGGTGAAAATAAATTAAAAAAGCTTCAAGAGAACATTCCTTCCGCAAGGAGACCGTATCCGTCGATTTTACGACACTTGCAAAGTTTAAGGGCTTAACACCCTTTGATGGTTTTATTTCCTCCATGTGAATAAAGTATCTCACCTTCCAAAACGAATACAGAAAATTTGATTAAAAAGATTTCCACCTCATGACTTGGTAAAGCTTAATAATCCTGTAACCCCCTTAGAGTGATTGCCATCTAATTTCTCTTAACGGTATTACCTCTGAAGATCATGATAATAAGGGAAATGATCACCAAATTATCCTTGTTGATACCACAGGAAATGTATAGAGAAACGTGAGGAGAATATGCATGCTGGTATTAGCGTTATAAAGGGTTTATTAGAGCCCATTGTTCACAAAAAAATTACCGACTAAAACACCAGAAGGAAATTTCCATCAACTGTCCCTTCCAATGTCCTTGCAGATGGTCCGCAATACATGGAGCTGGGCTGGACGTGTTTTTGTTGGACCGTCTCACATCATTCGATGTAATGCGGTCCGGCATCAACCGGTCCAGCCCAAAATGTGTAGCTTTCAATATGATTTCCGAAGAGATCGCGTTAGCGGAACCATACGAGCTAGGGCCTCTCTGAAATAGCGGAAAAATAAACAGGAATTGTCCCGACAAAATCAAATGTCAAATTTTTTCAAGACAAATTTTTGTCTCGTCTTTTGCATCTGCATGAAAAATTTCAAAGCTGTCAAATTCCGTCAACTTCTGATCTGCTTGAGCTCACAAGAGCGGCCAGCATAGTTTGCCTATGGATAAGAACTCCGATCGCCAAGATTCGTCTGAGGTCGTTCAGTGAAAGTACTTAAATCCAAGAGTTTCGCAAAAAAAAAGAAAAGACAATTATTCTCCGAGCTCTGATAATAAGACGAACCCAGTTCAATTACACGCTTTTGGTAGCTTTTGTGACAAATGATTGGCAAGTTAAACACTGCTTTGTTTATTTGGTCGATTTTGTCAAGTCTTTACCAGGCTGGATAAATTCTGTCTTAAGTGCGTTAGGAGATTTGCCTCGTCCAAATTTTGTCAGGTAACAAGCCAGCAGCACTTGTTAAGCCTTAGTGATGAGCGCAGCCTGTTCCAGGCATTCATTCAGTAAAACGAAGCGAAATAGTAAAAGGTGCAATACTAGCGGCGGAGTGAAAAAGCGAGGGAGACGACTCAAACCAAGCCTCCCCGTTTTTCACTGCTCTGCTACCTTAGCGCTGTTTCCTTCGCGCTTCGTTTTACTAGCTGAATGCCCAGAACAGGCCATGATGACCGAATTTTTGCAAGTCCGGAAAGGCTCCCAAAGACCATTTTGTACAAACTTTGATCACTTCAGAAATCAAGAAGACTTTTTTTTCAGAACGTAAGTAAACCAAGAAGTATAAAGAGATCGGTTGATTTCAAATGGTTTAAATAAAGTAGTATTAT